CCCGTAAAACTCCCAAAAAGTTTTGTGAAGCCGCCATTTTATTATCCTCGCATTAGCATTATTAGCATTAGCCCAGAGCAGAAAAGCTCAGTAGAAGCCAGTCCCCAACTGGCCGGGGACTTCGGGTGGCAGTACACGCCGTGAAGTTGTTTGCGGCCTGCCAGTAAACCCAAAGCAGAAGAAGAAGTGACGTCAGCGGCTTCATTTCCCTAATCCTTCCCCAGGATTAATACAGTCTAACAGCAGCATGAATAACAATTGTAAAACATTTTTAACACAATGGAATTACTATATAATAAGAGATTATATTATGTGAACGCGATCTGTACTTAGTCCATGAGAACTAAAGAGTACTGCGGTGTGAACGCGCCTTATTTCTACATCCTTTATTTAGCTGACGTTGCGGCCCTCAGGCCTTTCCTAAAAATGATTGTCATTTAAATTCATGAATGTTTAGGCTCGATCTCTGCATTCTCATCATCTGAACTTGTGCAATGTTTTTCTTTCTGAAGGCTTTTTATTCTGTTGCTGCAGTGTAATCCTTGACTGTGATTTGTTCAATTGCTGTCTTGCTAATGTGTTACGTGAGAGCGGTAAATATAGGGTCTGGTAAAAGTACCTGTCAAACATGTTCTTCATTGTACATGGAGAAATAGATAAGGAATATTTTTGCACATATAACAAAATACACTGCACAGAAAGTTTGAATGATCTTTTTCTGTGTTTATGTTTGTGGATCAGACACCTGTGTGTGACTTCACAGCTGCCTGGTGATGCAGTTTGGGGATGATCAAATAATGACAGTTTTAAAATATCATGGAATGTAGACTGAAAGAAACGAGTCTCTGCAGGACGAGTTACACTTCAACAAAACCACAACCTACAGCATCAAACAACCCGTGATTTACTGCAGGACGGTTGTATAATACTGCATTCCTTTTAGCTAGGGGAACCTTATGAAAGAGGAAATGGGAGTGCATATTGCGGAGGTCTGTTCATTTCAGGAGAGAGAAAAGTTTAAATGAATTTAATATATACAAGTAACTTACTTCGGACTATCTGTTTTGTAGACTCGTGCGATCTCTGGCACTAACGGGTCATCGGGGTTTGGGTCACATAGCAGTGAGCAAATGGAGAGAAGAACTACAGGAAAAATAAATACACATGTTTTACCAATGAAATACCAAAGTCACATCAAGGCCCGCCGACAAGTCACCCTGGATTGATTGTGTGACGAATGTAATGTCCAGGTGTCTACAATTTAGGCATTAACACAGTCTAACAACATGAATAGCAATTATAAAAATCAATTCCAGGATTAACACAATGGAATTACTATATAATAAGAGATTACATTATGCATCTGCATTCATTTGTGTTTCACTTGAGGTTTAAAAACCTGACATGGCTGAAAATGTTGTTTTAATGGGAAAAAAATATATATATATAAATTAATCTTATTCAAATTTAGGATTTTGGTCTAGGGGATTTCATAATATATAAAAGACAAACATTTGAAACTTAAAATTTGTTTTGAATGTATATATGAAATGTTGTGTAACCGTCACCAATATGACTTGTGGACCTCGTTTATTTGCTTATCAAAAGTGTTTGTAAGTTTTGTGAGTGAACATTTCAGACTGCTTCTCATGTTATCAGTGACATGACTGTTGTGAAGTACATAGAGTTTTCCGTACCTTTAGAAATAGTAAGCGCAGGAGACCATTGTGATCTGAGAATATCCAGACAAATACTGCCGTTACTGTTAATATTTGGGTGGTAAATTCTTGTTGTAAATGCAACCTGAAAGAGAAAGATAAAAACAATGAGGACAAGTAACACATTGCTGCGTCACACTTCACGCCAAAGTTATGCAATGTAAATTCCCCGACACGAGGCACTGACGCTGAACAGTCATGCCAGTCAGATACTGGAAACAGGTATTTCTTCATGCGGGTTTGCAACAGGTAATCTGTTTTCATGAAAACTGGGCTTGTTTTTATTTCAGATGAAAGGTTTCCATGTTGTTTCTCTGGAACTTAACTATGAAATACACCATGAAAAGTTATTTTTAAAAACATACATGATAGACCCCAGTGTCTGACATTGAAAAGGTGTTATATTTCTAAGTGGAGAACAAGCCTTTTGTCATGAGGGATACTGCATTTAAAAAAGATGAAAAATATCTTTAAATCTCTGTAAAAGCACAAAAAAAGGAAACTCTGATGATTCAGTTTACCTTGGGGGGTTTGAAGGGGTAGTCTGTTGGAAAATGAATTGTCAAGAAGAAAACTCCTCCCTGATACGGACTGTCACTCTGAAAGAAATACATTTACATAAATTTCAGTAAATAAATAATATTCCTGTTCCCAGCTTCTCATCATAAAGTCAAATTTCAACCTTTATCTCGTGGGTATATTTAAAGCAGCCAGGAACACAACACTCTGTGACAAATTCCAACATCATGCTTCTTTGAAAAGTACACGAGAACAACAATTATGTCATAAAGTATGTACTTACAGGTCCCATGATAGTGGCTTGCCAGTGAAACACTGTGGAGAAACAGAAAATATAAATGTTAGGAACCAGGGAAAGGTCACAGGTATGTGATCTGACGGGAACTAGGTTGGCGTTTGCAGCCTACATGCAACACCATTTCCCTTTATAGAACATGTTCATATTCCAAGCCGTTTTGTAGCCATCTATTAGTTATAACTCCCAAAGCACTTCTCCTTTAAATAAGGTTCACCGGGGTCCTCTGTGTTTTAACCAGATGTTCATATCAACTAATGATCATTAAAGAAATTATGGGATTGTTTCCTTTGAAATGTGTAAAGATGCTTGGTGTCCATGAGTGATTGTGGAAAAAACACCAGATTATGTGAAAAATCAAGCATTAAAAAAAAGGTATTTATTTAGCTGTAATCATTCACTTATTGGAAAATGTGCTTATTGTTTGATCAAAAGTGAAGATATACTTTGTATTTCATTGTGGCATACGTGATTATAAACTGAACATCTTTGAGAGTGTTGGTCAATAAAAAATAAGATTAAGTGAAAGATATAGCCTTGGTCTGCTGGAAATTCTAATTATGCTATTTTCTGGCATTTCAAAGACGTCATTTGACACGTACTGTCATCACCCACTGGGCCGGCGGAGCATTGTGCTGGAGGGTCACGAGCCAGGTCGTTCAGCTCCTGTAACGAGAAGAAGTTTAAAACAATAATCAATTAGACATCATGGTATTAACAGACAGATTGATGAAGAGACTTCACCTGAAATCAATGTGCACTTAACACCCTTGGTATAAATGTCCAAATGGAGAATTGGGAAAGTCGTTTTTTTTATTGTGAATTTAGATTAAAACAAATATCCTCCCAATGGATAATGTAAAACAGTTTTAGTTACTTGTCGTGTCCACTTAAAATGTGCGAGTTTGTGATTAAATACAAACATGTTTATTTTCCTGCTTTTTGTTGTTGAAATTATCTTTGCGATTTAGACAGAAGACATATAAAGACAACACCTTGGACATGGTTTACCATCAGACATTTTATAACCCAAAGGAGAAATCAGTTTAAGAGTAGTTAAAAGGTTGGGTCACAGCAATAATGTCCATGTAGTCTTGTTTGTCTCACAACACTGTCCTGGCAAGTGTATTTATCTCTTGCCTCAACCCTCAAGGTTCATACAGTTCCTCTGAGAGAGAAGGGGGGGGCCACCGTGTTATCCCAAATTAACAGCAAGACGACACCCAAGAACCTTTACAACAGCCTCTAATGTTAATTTTAGGTCCACAGCTCCTTTTCAGCCCCACCCCGGCCTTCTGACACGCAACATTTCACAAGTAAGTTGATGGATTTCTTTGAAAGAAGATCCTGGTAAACAGCAGAGTGAAGAAATAAAGCATGGATGCGAACATTTCAGGATCTGTACTTCAATCTCATGTTGCCAGTGTCCTCCATTTAAATGCCAGAACACACCCTGTGATGTTCACAGACGCAAAACAAAAACTATCACATACCAAGGAAGTGTATCATGAACTGATCTAGTTTGTGCTATGAGTCATGGGTTCTGGTGGAGTATTACAACATGTAGGAACTATTAACTAGAAGTAATAACAACAAAGTATCCAGTAAAGGCATGAAACCATAACCCAAGGACCATTTATATGATGTGTGTAAAGGTATGAAGTGTTGGGCAGTTAATGAGGCCTCGTTTTTTCCCCAATTCACTTCGTCAAACACACGGAACATGTAATCGAAACTGCTAATGTTAGCGAGCCATCTTATCTTAAACGTGTATATCGATGAGACTTTAAGACGTGTCCACCAACAGTTAACACTTTCAACTCACTCAAATGTTAACACACAAAACGAGTGCAAACAGAAACTTAAAAACACTTGTTTCACCGCCATGTTCTCAGGGGTACAAGAGCAGCAATGTGGGAGGCTAGCCCGGCGTGCTAATGCCGTTAGCTAAGCGAAATGCTCTTACCTTATGAATCCTTTTCAAAGCCATCTTCTTTCAATGTTTTCTCCTTTAAATTGAAGTGTTTTCCTATCCAAGGCAAACGTGATGTGCCAGGACTATTCCGCGTTCTGTTAAATAACTGACTCTGGGTCAACTCAACGGCCTTTTCTTTCTCGAGCTAGTGCCCGTTAGCTAGCGAGCTAAAACTACGTATTCGCGGAGTTCGTAACAAAGATAGCTGGCAGTGTTCTGCAGCTTATTTTAAACGACACTATCCTTCGATAAACCCTCACTTTACAGCGAAGTTACCGAGTATTTTGTCAGATGGTGTATCCGCCGGTTGAGGCTAAACGAGGTGAAGTAACCACTGTCGACAAAGCTGCTGTTAGCCAACTTGCGGCGATGTGCTTGTGTCGGGGCTTTATGAGCAGAAGGCGGTGCTGCTGAGTGACGGACGCTGCGCTGGCAGTTCGCTCACACCGCGTTCACACTTCGCCTCGACCTGCGCGAACTCGCCCTTTTCGCGTCTTTACGTTCACTTTGTATGTAATCGCACCGCGCGAAAGAGTTCGCTTCGCCTTCGGTTTGAACCTGGTTTGAACGCACCATTACAAAACTGCTGTGAAACAACGACATGTACACGGACCAGTCTGGACTGGACATGTCGGTGTTTAATTAACTGATCTTTTTATTAAGCACTCGCTTTTTAAATGGTGATGTTATCACTTAAAACAGCCGCTTAATAATTATTTAGTTATTAGTTATATTAATAATGTAAAATAGTGTTTTAAGCATGTTTTATGATTTTCAAGAGAATATATCAAAGTTGCTCTCTTTATGTATTTAACTTCACTGCTAAATGTAAACTATTGTATACTTTTATAATTTAATGGTGTTATGTGCTATGAAAATGTAAAACATGTAATTCTTGTATTACATTTTTTCAGGGAAACCCCTACAAACAAACATATGATCTGAAAAACAAGAGTACATTACTATCCGTGTGTTCGCGAGGGGTAACAAAAAAAGAACCTACACAAAATACATGTTTTGATGATGATTCTAAATGTATGTGAACATGTAAAATGTATGTGAACATGTAAAATGTATGTGTATATTCAGTTTAAACTTCAGTCAGACTCACTGTGTGCACCTGTCATGAATTTATTAAATCAGTGACTTCAGTTAAAAAATGAAAAGCAGACGTAATACTTGGAGACAGAGAAGCAGAACAAAAGGCTGATTTATGAATTAAAGAGACGAATGCTGAAACTTCCATTCATATTGCTTTCACAAAACTGCACTACATTGAAATGTAATTTATTAGTAAACATATTTACCTGTAACCTTCTAGAATTTGGTAAATATTGATGCAAGATAATTGTTTCATAGTTGTAAATCAGTTCTATGAATTGTAATTTAATTTCTTTACGGTTGTACAATAAGATTTTAACCCAACACAATTCAGTCTCTTTATGGCTACGTTCACACTGCAAGGGATCATTCCTGATTTATTTATTTTTCAAATATTACCAATATCAGACCTTATTCAAAACCCAATATATGGAAGCGGCCAAAATGATAATTATCCAATAATGCAAAGATCAAATAAATGATATCAATTATTATAACAAACAAAATATTAAAATTAAATAAAAGTGAACATTTTTAATTAGCATTGCATTGTTTGACAACAGTAAAACTACTATCAGTATAATATGTATTAATGGTGGTTATTTATTATAACGTTTTAGCATTTAGCCTGCAGTCTGAAGGTAGCCCATATTGAACACAAACACATGTTATTTCCTTAACATTCATTATACTGTCCAGTAAAAGACAATTTTGATTGGTTAACACAGAGAGAAGGCAAATGTGTTTAAATCCTTCGTTATGGAAGATCCCCCTCTGACATCCTCCCAAGGCACTGATGCAGTCAGTCACTGTCCTCTGAGCGTGTGCAGGAGGAAGAACCTTTATGGTTTTCAGGATCCTCAACACAGTCTAAGAATTCAGAGTTTTTATTAGAAGATTTAACTGAGGTTTGGCTGTTCACACCGCATGCCTCAAGACTTTTGTTTGATTCAAGGCTGCATGATCTGGTTGTTCGTTCACAGTCATTGTGTTTATTAAAATCCCTGTTTTCAGGAGAGAAAGCGTTGCTGCTGTCTTCACGTTCTGCTCCATATGAGGCAGATTGGCGCTCTAACGTCGATGGCGGCGGTGAGTCTATGCCACTCTCCTCACCTTCGTTGTGCATGTTAGAAAGAGAGGTGTTACGTGATTCTGCATCTCCCCCCGAAGAGCAGGGGCTCACAAATCCAACAAAATCTCCACTGGAGCTGAAACGAAGACCTTGAACAGCTTCCCTTTGAGTTTCATCTTGTTTGTCTTTACCTTCTCTCGCACAATCTCCATCCTCAAAGCTTTTAATCTCCTCCTGCTGCTCTGCAGGATCTGGAGTTACAGCATCGCTCTGCATCTCTGGTAACGAGCCGTTGTCCTGGTTCAGATCTTCCGCTTGTTGTGCGGACGGATCCGGCCCCGTGTCTCTGGGAGCTGCCTCCTCCTCTGCAGCGTCTCCTGAAGCTGTGTTTCTCTCTCTGGGGCTGGGGCGCACCTTCTGGTGGCACATGGGGCACGTCTCCTGCACGTACAGCCACTTGCGCAGGCAGTTGCCGTGGAAGAAGTGTCCGCAGTATGTGATCACAGCAGAGCTCATTTCCTGTGAGGGTGAGAGACATAACCCAATTAAACAATAACTAGAGACCAGTATTTAGCTAAAAGCCTTAGTTGGGATTCACAGAAGTCACACCATCACACAAACTAAGCAACTCCAAAAAGTAACTGTTTTTGTCATTGGAGTTTGGTGGCTTTGAAGATATCATAGTTAAAAGAAAAAGGGCTGTATGACAGCACGATAAAGCGGTGAAAAAATGTGTAATATTGCGTACACTTAAACTGAAATGTATTGTTTTAGGTGTCTAAAATGTGTTTTATAGAGAGATATTAAATTGTGTTAATAAAGCTGGTTTTAATGCTTGTTTCTGACTTTTATTTTTTGGTTTTTACTTATTTACTGTTTTGTCTGTATTATATATATAATAATATGCTTTATTATATCAATAGGTATATTGTTAGTGTACTTATTAGCCACACTTAAACATTAATACTGTACAGTACAGCACTATTGGACTTCTTTTGAAAACAATATGAGCAAATTAAATTAATACAGTTTTTTTTAAATGTTACCTCTCTTCATTAATCTCCTTTTAAAATTAATTTCTTTTATTATTTACATTTTCTTTAAAAAAGCTACTTGAAAAGCTCTTGAACCAGCGAATGTCAAGGCTTCCCCACACATGTTCTCTGTTATTATAAACGTTTCTTTAGCTGCTTCCTTGACACTCAACCTGTCATCTTTATTGAGGACCAGTTTGAACATCTGAAACCGGTTTGATTAGAAAACAAACCGGCTGGAGGCCAAAGATTCGTGCCTGAGCAGCGAGAGGAGCGGTGCAGCTGAACTGGAAGAACGAGATCGAGCTGCTCATAAAGTACAATATGTCCACAGTCTATGTTACAGTCAGCATTGTGAAAGAACATTACTGATAATGAACAACATCACTCTATACTTGTGTAGAGATTTTGTATATGAATAAATATATAAGATTGTCAGATTGAACACTGGGTTATTTTGCTTTTGATTGTTTGTGTTCTTTTTCTATATTTCCGATTGTAAAAAAGTAAATCTTTATATTTTTAAAGCTACATTTAGTCTTGTCTTTTTGTCAACAATGTAATTGGATGTCGATACTGACACATCTGTAATGAATTACGCCTGTGCGGCCTTGTCATTGTCTCGTCTTAGTCATGGAAAAAAAAGGTTGATGACTAACAAATGAAGTCATAGTTTTTACAACAGCGTAAACACTGATTGACGATGACATAAAAACAGAAATGACTGCACAGGTGTGCCGTCTTTCCTTATGATGTTGTGGAGACACTTTGATTTGAAAGACACTCTTCATGGCCAAATCAGGGTAAAAAAGGGTTTTTGTATTTAACAGTGTGTTGCGTGTTTGTATCCAGATTTTCTATAGTGCTCTGCTGTTGTATTTTCCCCAGTGGGACGGTAGGTGAGTGACCTGGAAGCAGATGGAGCAGACGTCGTTGTGTTCCTGCAGCTGCTGAGCCGTGGCCAGCGGGAGGGAGTTGATCTTTTTCGCCGCTTCCTGTCTGAGCAGGAAGCTCTTCCAGCCGGACTGAGCTCGGAGCCAAACGTTGAAGTACGAGTGGATGATGATGACGGAGGCGCCCATCCAGCTCCACTCGCCAAACAGCGACTCCCAGGTGCCGTACGCCACCACGCACAGCGCCACCACGAACTCCAGCACGCGGCTGACGGCGTTCACCCAGTAGATCACCTCATCGAGGCTCTCGATCGGGTCGCGGCGGAACAGCTCCACCATGAACAGGGAGTAGATCAGCATGGTGCCTGTGACCTGGAACAAACAGGGACATTTTAATCAAGAACAGCATAAATAATGGGCTTCATGTTGGAAATGATGTGACTAGCAGTGTTTATTAGTAGGACTTTTTGATCTATTTTACAAGGTGTATAATATTTTATCTTTTAAACACGTGGGAGACATTTTTTTTTTGCCAGGACTAATTTTCTAAGTTACTTTTTTCAGATGTGTTTTGAAAAAAATGTAAGTGTTAAAGGTGGCGTAGATAATTTAGGAGAAACCAGCTCGAGTGCGCTAGAATTTGAAAATACACAGCCGGAAAAAATCTGCCACTTCCTTACAGAGCCCCTCCTCCAACACACACGAACGCGCACATGACCAATGAGGGCACGAGATAAGTTTGTGCACAGATGGAAGGCTGACAGGCAGGTAGGCCATCCAGTTATTTTAGCCGGGCCGGCTCAGATGATTGGTCCTGCTTTTTACAGCGCCACGGCTTCCACAGACGGCTTCCATTTTTTAATGGATTTTTTGTCAAAGCACTTCAGATATTCATTGCTATCGGGATGTTAAGAGCATTCCATGGAATATAACAAAAAGTGTATCTCGATCCGGTTTCTCAAACTCACCTACCCTACCTTTAAATGTAGATGTTTATGTGATTATAGAATCTTGGAAGTCGTAAATTAGGAAAATGTATCTAGCAATTTATTTTCTTATTCTGAAGAAAAGATAAACAAATAAAAGGTTTTAGCGGGATGATATTTTAAATATTTTGAAACACGTGATGATAAAAACGTTTTATAACTTCCACTCAACTCTTGTCCAAAAAAAACATATTCCAACTTCCTTCCTTCTAAATAACACATCCTACCTGAAGGGAAGTGAGCATGCAGCTGGACACCAGTATAAGGAGCCAGAAGTCCATGTGGAAGAACTTGGAGATTTTATAAGCCATGTACACAGGGAAAATCAGCAGGAGCAGACACATGCTGATGCCACGCAAGTGCTTCCACACACTCCTGCACAGAAGAGAAAAAGAGAAAAAGATCAGAGAACTTTCTTGGCCTATAACCTCAAAAATCTTAATCTGCATCTCGCCATAATAAATGGTAATGCCTGGAGTAGCCGTTACCTGTTGCGGGATGCACCGAGCGCCAGAATAACCGGATCTGTTATCTCGATCATTGACTGCAGGGTGGAAGTGGCCACGATGAAGAGGATGATGCTGAGGAGGAAGGTGCGCTGCAGGGCCTGCATGTCCAGCAGGCCGGTCTGCAGAGCGAGCAGCAGCAGAGTAACGCCCTCCGTCACACCTCTGAACACAGCAAGCGTAAACAATGATTATCATCAAAGAGAGGGAAACACATAGGGGCTGGACTTATGATATCATTTCAACTGTAAACACACACCCATACAAACAGCGCTCTCTTCTTATGAGTATTGGAATAAATAGATTTTTTTTTTAAAAAGCTCCCTTTTAAAAAGCTTTCATTTTTGTTGGCAACAAAGCTTCATCACTTTTTCCTATTACCATATTTGTTTTACATGGTTTTACTTTTTTGTTTAATTACACAAGTGATCATGTACAAAAGACACCTTAAATAAAAGAACAACAATATTAACTGAAAGTGAAACAGAAAATAAAAAGACATTAACACTGGTCAGAACAATTCATTAAGATTGTGTTGCCACCTGTTGTTGACACCGTTTGGGGAGTAAACAAAGAGAGGAAGTTTTCCAGGAAATCCCTGAGCAGAGTCAAAAGTACATTTCTCGAAAGTCACCTGCCACGTTTGCTGCTACTTACTACCACCCAGTGGTAACAGGCACAATCAGAAAGAGGCAAAAAATAAATCTCAAACTTTCTACACAAGGAAACTAACACACAAATATAGAACGAACCAACAAACAGACATTTAAATGTGCACATTTTATTAAAATGCAATGCATGTGAAAGGGGGTTGCTTTGTAGTGATGAATCTCCATAAAATCAGGTTTACTTCAGATATGAACTTGAAACTGTAAAATACTCTATTGCAGGGGTAGCCAACACGGTGCCCGCGGGCACTTAGTCGCCCGCAGGGGCAACGTGAGTCGCCCGCCGGGCATGTTCTAAAAATAGCTCGCCAAGCAAATCCAAAATGTATAAAATACACAAAACAAAAAAGGAAATGTAATTAAAAGAACCTACCCTATGCATAAACGAAACCTCAATCATAGCGAACCCTATCTACTTACTACAACTCTATATCTATCTAACACCCCTCCTCCCCCCACCCCCACAATGAATATCGACCAATCACGTTGTGGCTTGATTTGCGGGACCAGCGTTGCCAGTCCGGGAAGAGAAGCAATGTGGCACCTCCCCGCTGATTTTTCCTTCTGGCAGAATCTACACTCAGCCCCATTGAAACAGCCTATCATTGCCAGCCGATACCACACATGAGGGCAGAGTTTTACTGTTGTGTGTTGCAACTTGGGCAATTATATATTTATTGCACTTGGACTCACAATTTTTTATTTTTTCATGGCGTAATTTCCTTAAAAAAACAGTTTATTATTGTGGGTGTTTGTAATGCATTATGTGTAATGGTTTAACTATTATGAGTGTATTTAAGTTGATGTGTTATTGGTTGTTTACATATTCTAATATGTGGTGAGTATTAAGTATATACTTCCCCTTCTCTCATGGTTGTAGGTATATCTGTAATTCAGTGATGATTTCACTATAAAAATATATTAAATTCTTCGGTGGTGGATTGCTGGGTAATATAATGCTTAATTTTGTAATCCTGGTGCATACATGACTAACAACAACAAGGTATATGAACTTCAACATTTAAAAAAAAAATCCTGGAGGATTGTGAGGTCCCAACCCCAAAATAAAGCAGGTTTAAAATAAATTAAATGCATAACATGTATTTTAGTAAACATTGAAAGTAGCCCTCGTCCTAAAAAACGGTTGGTGACCCCTGCTCTATTGTTCATATATATAAAGTATATGATAAATTTTCTATACATGGAAGTGAAATTGGTTATATCTTATCAGGCATATGTATATGCAGAAACCCTGAATTCAAATGGAAGACCTTTTAAGACCTTTTTAAAGACCCTTTCCATACATTTTTAAGACCTCATCGCCACTTGTTTGGAGTTTTAACCGGTTACCTTGGCGACACACTTTACCTCACATTGACTATATACAGTATGGATTGTCTTTCCTCCTGATCTTCCAACCATTTGGACGCAAACTTGCATTTCCCCATAACGATGTTTTTTAACAACTGGTGTAAACGGACCTTCGCGCGCTATCAAGCAGTGAGCGTGAGATGTCCTGTTCAGATGACGTCAAATCCAACGGGATGCCATAAATAAACTACACAGAATCACACTACACACCTACGCAATGATTACATTCAGGCAGACTGTAGAATACAACCTCTTTGGACAATTTATATACTTATTGAAAACAAGCTACAAAATGTAATACCTTGGAAAATGCCGTTTAATACTTTTTAATAGCCTTCGTTTTTGCTAAATTGATTTATCAACTTTTAATACTTTTTAAGACCCCGCGGACACCCTGATTATAAACCTGCAGACAGCACAGGACTTAATTATATTAGGATATACTATACACCTGCAGATCTCACCTGTGCATGACGTTCTCGTTCAGAACGGCTGCGTGACCTCCCAGGTAGAACTTGCATAGGTTGAGCAGCCCGAGAGCGAGATAGGAAACCACGAAGGTCAGACCCAGGAGGGAGTACGGCGTGGCACAACATTCAGACACACTGAGGGGTGCAATAAACCAACAAAAACACAGTTATTAAAAACATATGACCTGCCTAATGTCAGGTAAAAACACACACACAGAATAATAATCCACATAATCACATCACGAAAGGTGGGAGAAGTACTCGTATCTTTTACTATCTATAACCCACATTATGCAAACTGTGCTTGAGTAAATGTATTTAGTGAAAGGTGCACCTTGTGAGCAGGAAGAAGAGGATTCCCTGATATCCCGTTGCCGAGGATTTGGTGGACATGGTGTCTGAGAACAGCTGGACGACAAAGAGGACAAACCAGAAAACACTGAAGAGCACCGGGACGGCAAACTGGTTCCACAGAGAGATCCCCACAGCCAGGAGTCGGTACAGCTCGATCACCTGAGGGGACGAGTTCATGTGGAGCGTAGTGTGAAACACAGGACACATAGAGAAGAGAAGAGCATTACAAACAGTAAGTACAGGATTGGTTTAACCTTGTGTGACAAACCAACTGTGTGTTACATTTGATAGCAAACAATCACAAATAATTTGTATTAAAACACAGGAATGTTGTCATATTGGAACATTTTATTTTTGATAATTATTTAACACAAATTTTCAAAATAAAAAGTAAACAGTATCGAAACATGGTTCGATGGATGAACTAAGTATGTCTAAAATATTAAAATAATCGGAATAACTCGTATGAGAAACAGGATGCATTGAGAAAGTGCTTCAATATAAATACATCTCAGAATAAGAGTACCTCCAGCTGCAGCAGCTCTGAATAGGCAGCCTTTGCGAGGCGGTACGGCACAAAGAGATGTGCGAGGAGGAACACGGTGATCCCCGCTGCGGTGAGTCCCACGGAGAGCGTGTTGACGGTGAGCAGCGTGGCGTGCCGCAGGAAGCAGAGTCGGGCCAGCAGGGGGAGCAGGTGAGCCGAGAACAGCCACACCTTCCTGCTCTTCATCAGGAAGGCACACAGCGTGCTGAGAATAATCTGACCTGCACAGGAAATCACAAGAGGACCATTTTATGCCTAGACTGTATGAAACGAAAGTAAACAACTTATCTTTATCCGTCATCTGTTCATAAATACTTGCTTACTGCACATATTTTATATTCTATAATGTATTGCATTCTATTTCAATGTAAAGTACTGCTTTATTCGATTGCTATCTTACTATATTTGTATTACAGTGTTCTTAATATAGTTCGCTATCCGTGTTCTTTTTTTAAATGTTTGTTTTTAATTTGTATGTATGCACCACGACACCTAGTCAAATTCCTCGTACGTGAGAACCTACCTGGCAATAAACCCGTTTCTGATTCTGATTCTAAATGTTCAAACAAAATGAAAAGACATGCCAAACATTATGAATGAAGCTGAGAAGGCTTTTCATTGACATGCTATTTATTTACAGTCCTTTTGAATTTGAAACTAAATGAATGTAAATGCTTCATATTAACATGTGCGTTTAGTTTGTGGACTCACTCGTCATTGCAGAGACAAATCTGTTGAAGGCTAGAGAGTCGAGGTACACCGCTCCTTCATAACCGTACTGCAGCTCGTCACGGACATAATCCCTGGGGAATGAACAGTAAAAAAACAACATCCAATTGTTTTAGGATATCTTAAAACCAAATGTTGCCAACATTTTTATTTATTTAGTACTACTAGGTCATTTGAATGTTTTATCTAGACTGGGCACATCAATAAATGACACATTTGAAAATGTTTGCAATAAATGAGGTATAGTCTCAAACACCTATTATTAAAGTGATTTCCTTCTCCACAGACATGCTGGATACACTGAGTATGTCAAAGTTTGTCAGGACAGAAAACAGATGTTAGTCTAACAAATCTGCATGACTACAAAATAATATATGTAGTTGTAGTATTAGTAGAAGCTCACTTTGAAATCTGATGCCCCATGTACAGGAGGAGCGCAGCGAGGATGTGGAGGTAGAGCGTCACAATGTGCCTCAGAGGAAGAACCAACACCACCAAGTTAAGGAGATGCCCTGGAAGACAAATGAAATGCTCATGTCATGTTTTCCGTGTTTTAATGAAGCCAGGAATGAAAATACTAGTCTCTTCTAAAAATCTAAACGATAAACGGCACACAAAGTGAATTCACAAACAATCAATGAAAAGTAAAACAACTTCATGGTGTCAACGTACACTCTCCTGTTTAAAGGTGGGGTAGGTAATTCACTTCAGAAACACTTTTTGTTATATTCCATGGAATGCTCTTAACATCCCGAAAGCAATGAATATATTAAATGCTTTGACAATAAATACATACAAAAATGTCATCTGTGGAAGCCGAAGGGCTGTAAAAAGCACGACAGCCCTCCATCTGTGCACAAACTTATCTCGAGCCCTCATTGGTCATGTGCGCGTACGTGTGTGTTGGAGGAGTGGCTCTGTAAGGAAGTCTGAAGGAAGGGGCAGATTTTTTTTGGCTGAGTACTTTCAAATTCTAGCGCACTCGAGCTGGTTTCTCCATTCTTACCTACCCTACCTTGAAGGTAACATAATCAATATCTCCTCATGTGCATACTAACCAATGTAGTACATGTTCCAGATGACATATTTGTATTTGAAGAGCATGTCATCATTTTTGGCCTTGAGGTGCTCCGTTAGCCCTTCAATGTCACATTTATACAGCAGGTCCAGCACCAGGATGCTCGGCACCCTCAGGGCCACGTTGGCCAGCTCTTCCAGTCGAGGCATCTTTATTTGGGGTGGGGTGGGGGTGTGATGAGTGGAAAGCTGTTTGTGTCACATGCTGTCAGCGCACCTCCTGCTCATCTTCTTGTCATCTGAAAAACACAACAGAAACTTCATGTTTTTAAATTGATTTATATCAGCCAAAGCATTCCAATCAATACAAAAAACAATAGTTATTTCAGGAAACTATATAAGGTTAATATAAATCATAGTAAATCACATTAAATAAAAAATCAACCTAATATATGGTGAGTTAAGAAATGTAGCTTTATGAATATGACATTTCCATAAGGTATTTTTGTTAAAACTAGTACATAAACTGTTATCAAATTAAAACAGTGATAAGTGATAGTTCAACATTGTCTAAATGCATACAATAAGTTCAACCATAAAACTGATGAATAATACTTTTATGTTCAGTTTTGCAGGAGGTATATTTGTAAAAACATCTGAAATCCTGTTGGTTTGTTTTTAACCTTTATTTATCCAGATTGGTCCCATTGAGATCATAGATCTCTTTTCAAGGGAGACCTGCAGCAATTAGGTGCCATATGAAACATAAAACAATAGAGGATATCATACAACATATTTACAAGCTATATTTACATACTTATCAACATTTACAAATACCCATAGTTTCAAAGAGCATTTCACTTAGACTTGCTGAAATCCTTCATAAATATCTTTAAATTGCTAGTTTGTGCAATAAACATGTGCATGTGAATGTGATGCAGAATCTAAAGGGTAAAAGTTAAAACTTCATAAGGCACTGTTTGACTTCCCTGAAGCAAACAGGCCGATACTAGCTATACTCACTCCTTAAGCGTCACATTTAAGCCTTTAATCAACAATAGAGACGTGAAGTAGTAATCTTATGAATTCAAACATAATATTCACAACGCTTTTAAGTAGCTAGTGTGTATACAATGACAGTATTTCACTTACTTTGCACGGTGGTACTCATCACAGCCGAACAGCCATATGCTAGCTAGCTGCTGTTGGTTAGCTTCCACAGCGACCAACAGCATGTTTTTCTTTCATAGCAGCATCACACGTAACATATTATAATATTTTTCTATATCTTCTGCTTCTAAAATATAGCTAGAAACAGCCGGCATGTAAACATTTAATTGAAATATCTGAAATTCAACGATAAATGGATGAGTATAGAGACTTCAAATGCAATGTTATGATTCCGCTCGCTTGCGTGGCCACTTCCCGTGTATACGTCATAGCGAAAGTAACCAATGAGGTACAGGTATCCTTGATCTCAAAATAAAAGTCGAGTTTTACTACTACTACTACAACTACTACTACTACTACTACTACTACTACTACTACTACTACTACTACTACTACTACTAGCTACTACCTACTACTAACTAACTACTAACTACTTTCTTAATGATTTCATGTATGGCCTTGATGACTTATTATGACTTAGATCTGCTCCTCTGTTATTGCCTGATATTAGCTAGGCATGGCATCTGGTGTCAGTATTTTTCTTATAAAAGATCTGCCCTTTCAGCCCCACACCCTCTCGATAAAATATACCAAGCTCTCTATAATCTTTATGTTTAAAACCAACAGTAAAAATCAGTTTCTGTCAAGATTTACACTTCATGGCCGACACATCTGGCTATGAAGAACAGATGTTATCATTGTAATCTCTTAGTAAAACAGATGACTAATATGCATTTCCCGACTGCGTGGGTGAGTCTACAAAAAAGGGGGTTTATCATGCAGTGTTGTTATCTACTGATTACAACAGAGATTTATCACTTTAAAAAAGTCCCTTGTTTCCACTTTGGCTTTTAAACTTCGCTATGAAATAGAAACAACCAATTGAGTTTATCATTAAATAATGGCTTGAGCAAAGGATTGATTTCTCTCTTGCAAATCTAAAATACTGTATCCTCCCAAAACCCCTGATACAGTCTTTGCTAAATATGTTCTGACTTGTTACTCTGACATAAACAAACTGAGTAAGGGCATAAGTGTGCATCATTATAACATGTCAACAGTATGTTTATTGCGGTCACATGTTTGAATATTCATTACATTACATATCATTAATGTATCATGTATTTTGTTTTTGCTGTGTTTGTAAAATGTAATTTTCTTAAATGTTTTATGTGAGGGACTGCGGATGGAAATTAGCTCAAAGCTAAATCTGGCACTGTTACGCTCGACACATTTGAATGTTTTAAGTGTTCATTACTGTGCATTGTCCCTGCTAAATAAACGATTAAATTAAAATAATTAAGCTCACACTTTTATCCAAAGCAACTAAAACACGCCTACAGGAGCAATTTGGGGCTAAGCATCTTGCCCAAGGACACTTAAACATGTTAACTGCAGGGGCTATAGGAATCTAACCACTAACCCCCTGATTGGAAGATGTATTTACACTCATTCATGAGCCCTATGCATTGCCTCAACCTGTCACACTTGACCTAAACTGAACTAAGATTTTTTTTAAACACAAGTATTTCCCTTTGAGATTTAGAAACCCTGTAACAACCGAGCAGCATAAAACAGTTTCACATGAAAGAGGAATACACAGACTTGAAGCTAAACAGCAAGAAGTTAATGAAACAAACAACATTCAGACACACATCAACTTACATAAAACGTTGAAATAGGCAGCATTCAGTAAGACAGATGCAATTTGTAATCAGTCCTGGATCCTGCTTTATAATCTTGAATGCTTAAAAAGGGATTTTATTTAAGATGTATCTGTTACAATTCCATTCACTGTTTATCATATTTTGTATTATTTCTAATATTTTTTGTTATGTATGCACCATGACATCAAGTCAAATTCCTCGTACGTGTAAACCTACATGTTTCTGGTTCTGACTGTTCACTGTTTTAAAAAATGTTTAAAACCCTAGGCTCATCCAACAATTCAGCCTGAAGTAAACTTACATACAAAGAAATTAAAAAGAGCAAGTGGCACAATTGTGCAAGTAAAGTGCTAAAATAAGTAATCTATATATGTAAAATGTAAAGAGATAAAACACAATGTAAAATTATATACTGTAAGGCATCATAACATATGTTTATTGTAAAACGACAGGTATAGTAACTGATTTTTAGTGAGTTAATGGCAGTGGATACATTCAGAGTTGTGCAGGAGAGAGTCATCAGAGAGCCTGAAGGCTGGAAACACCCAGACAGCCTCACTGTATGGACTGTCTGTGTCTGCATGCATGCACACCATCTGGGAACATGTCACATGCAGCTCACATAGTAAACTTGTTTCTCCTCATGCTATCTTGCATTCTTTTTGTGATTCATTTCACCAAATGCTGACAGCTGAGTGAGTAAAGCATGACAGTACGACTTAAATATAACACAGATGTGAGGGTTTGTTGACAGTCTGAAAATATGGCGTTTGGTGATGGGTTTCCTGTGTGTGTACTTCTACAGCTGTTATAAATATCAGTCTGTTTTTATAGTCTGATAGATAGAAAACAGAGTGATAAAGATGACCCAACAACAACTGAGGATTTATGCTGTTTATCGGACGATTCATGTCTCAGCTGCTTTTTATTCGATATGACACAATAATACTTTTTGGGTCATATGAGGTCTGAAACATTTCTTGCATCACAGCAGCTCCATTTGCATCATTAACCAAGACAAATATTTAAGACAAGAAATAAACTTTTAACAAAGACTCTTGAAAGTACATTTTGTTCTTCATGAACTCATTCGTATTTAGTCTAAGGCTTGACTGCTGCACAAGAGTGCTTCAGTATAGTTGGACCCTGTGTGTCCTCATTTTTATCTATCCGATGATAAGAAATATTGAGCGCTGTTCGGGACATGGTTGGAGTGAGAGACTAAATATTTTGCCTCAATATATCAAACTGTTGTTAAACGGTTGGGCTATACTTCTTATTGGTAGAGCAGAGCTTTTAGAGCGAGGAAAAACGTCCAAATGTTGTCTGGTGTTGAGCTTTGTGGTCTCTTTAACGCTTTAGGGATCTTAGGGATTTGGGAAAAAGAGTGGATGTACGAAAATATAAGGGACTATCTGGGCGAATTTGTCCCTTATTGTGTAAATTGATTTGTAGGAACTATAATGTTGACGCCTGTAAAGGTGGAGCTTATTTGAACTTTTGTATTTACTTTAACTGCTGGGTAACTTTTTAATTCATTTATCTGAATGTGCCTCTGAAATTTAGCAGGGTATAAAGCAGCTATAAATGCAAATACTCAAGTACATTACAAGTACCTCAGAATTGTACTTCAGTACAGTACTTGATTACATCTTATAACATCCTTTTCATAAAACAGAAAATTCAATACAAGATGTTCATGTAGTAGTTAAATCACTGACTCAGCGGTGTACACCAGCGTTAAGCAAACTGTAATATTCCCAAGTATTTCTTTAAATCCCATTTTCACTGGACTTTTGGGAGGCAGGAAGGGAGGGAGGGTGGGTGAGGGGAGGTGGGATTGAGGGGGAGGGCTGTGTGCAAAGAGTCTGGCTCTTTGTCATCTTCCACATAAACTTTTTTTTTTTTCCCCCACTCACTCTGCAGCATGCAGCTCACAGAGAGGAAAATGGAAAAGTCATTGTGCACGTTGGCTGCAGTTATTTTTCTGGGAGGATTTTTTGACGCAGCCCAGCTGACAGATGATACAACAACTGAGGTTCATTTATTGTTAAACAGCACAAGTACAGCTGCGTCTGTCACTGTGCAGCTGCAGCATCACAGCACAGCCAAAACGACTCCAACAGCAGCACAGAAGTTACACACCACCGCTGTAACAAAAAAAAAGCTGCACAGAAAAAACATCATCCGGGACAGTGAGGAGGAAAACAACGGAGAAAAGAAACATGCAAGCAAGACAGACGAGAAGAAAAAACAACTGGGTATGAACAAGTTTAGTTTTAATTTTTGTGTAGAGTTGTTAGAAGCCAATTCATTAATTAATGATGCCTTCAGGGACCCCCTGAATTTGTGGCTTTCCTTTACTCAACTTTTGCATTTTGAGAATAAAC